CGCGTGTGTCCGTCACAAAAAGAGGAACTTCATATGCGCGAAATGAGACTCGCGCTTTCCAGCAGCGGCGACTTGTGTTGGCACCAGTCCAGACCATGTAGGGGCCTGGTGGCACTCCTCACTGACGCACACCTTTTTTCAACAAGATAAGGATTGACGATCGAGTATGTTACAACTGTAATGACATGGAAAGCAATGGACTGACACTGATCCAAATATTGAATTTAAAATGTTGCTTAGCTGGGAATATTCGGAAATATGGATACACATCTCTCAGTGAATAATAACTATCAAGTAGGCTATTCAGTCAATCCATGGTATAAGTAGTATTTTATATTTGAAAATGTAAAAAAAAGTTGACAAAAGGTTATGACATTGAGACTTACAGCTGCAGTCAGAGCCTACAGACTAATTGTTCAGTATTGTAAGGACTGGACTAATTACCAGGCAGCAGAATAAAGGCATAAACATTGTTTATTTATACCTCATTCTGTTCTCTATAAATCTACTAATTCTAAGACTACAGCTAGAGCAAACTGTTTTAAAGGAGGGAGGATTGTAGTGGGAGCACTGATGTGACACCATGGCATTGCCAATTGGTTTACATGGCTCATGGGTCAGGTGGGAGGGGCCCTTATAGTAAACATGGGAACTTGATACTTGTTGGAATTAATGTAGTCACTTAGGAGTGGGTCGAATCAGCTCAAATGTTGATGGCGTGTTCAGTGTTTGAATGTACAAATAGACTAAATATTTATAACAGGCACATCCACAGCCACTGCTGGTGAGATTAGCTCTTCGGCTAAAAGCCAGAAAAGAAATGAATATGTGCACGTGAAGTGGGGCTTTTAGTATCAACACATGTCGGGCTACAAATTACTGTCTTAACAGTTTCCTGTGTGTGGAAAAGAATTCACCTGTTGAGTTATATTTATTTTGTTGACAAATTCCACATTTTATAAAAAGAAAGCAACCAGACAGCTTTAAAACAATATAACACAAACAGAAAGCTATAATCTTGAAGAAACTGAAAAAAGCTAAGAGTCTAAATAATTTACACTTGATGTTAAAAGTTCATAGATCGAGCCTGCACGTCCCAGTGGAAGTTGTGGCAATTTAGAAGGTTAATGTTTTACATAGAGTTGATTAAATCTTCCCCCAGTAATTTAATCATCCTTCCTTTGACTATCCAATCCAACTTTATTTGTTAAGCACTTTAAAAACAACCAAAGTTGACCAAAGTGCTGTACAGGAGAAAAAATAAGACATCATAAATGTAAACAGCATGGGGTTACCGTTTTCTTTATTGGGGACAAAAGATCAGTTGGTATAATAAACTTCTCCCAGCAATATTTTATCAGACAGTCAGTCAGAGCAGTTGTGGTCTCTTTGTGGGCCTAGCATACAGCTCATAGGACACTATTCAGCTCTAAAGGTACTCCTATATAAGATTACAAAAGCCTAATTTAAATAGGGCCCATACAGAGAAAATGTAGTTGTATTTTAAAATAGCTCACTATCTACCCCTCTTTTTAACAGCACCACTCCTCCACCTGACTTACACCCTTCCTCACCTCATATGACATACACAAACCACCTGTCATCTGACACATGGGTGCGTGGATATGTCATATAACACACGGCAACTTATTATTACTGCTAGTCACCACTTTCATTTTTCGTGTTTACCATGCTGGTAAATCTGAATGAATGAATTACGCTTTGGTGCTCACCGTTTCCGTAAAAGGAATTCCACGATTAAATTTCACCAACCGATCTACTCATGTGTAGCATGTCCATATTGACAAAAGTTTACACAGTTATATTTCTATGTACAATCTAAGCAGCTTAGAACTAGCATCGCTCACTGGAAATTCCATGCGTTCAAACCTCCTTTCTAAAGTAAAAGTCCTTAACCTGTCACTATCCATTTGGCGTGCCCCAGAGAGTTACCCATAAACGATTGCCTTTGGGTTAGATTCTACTTAATATGAACTGTTACTTATGAACTAAAGTAAAGCTTGAAGGAAAACTGTACTAAAATCTAGTCAATTCACTGGAGAGAATGTGGCAGAAATGAAAATGAAGGCGCGTCTCATAAATGCTGACCACCTTCATGTTATGAAACTGAGACACTTCTTCATGAACCCGGCATCTTTAAAAAGGAGGAACAAAGTGACCATTTGTGAGCAAGTGCTGTCCTGCATTGTTAAGAAAACTAATGGAAAATGTGCTGGAAAATGGGGGAACCCTGCCAGGGCTGGCTCTTAGACCATAGTTTTGGATTTACATGTTCAACAGTTATATTAGAGTGTGAAATTCATACATATCCATACTTTGAGCTGTGCAGTATATGAGGTTTTGGATGGAAGCTTAACAGTAAATCAGCGATTAGCCATTACAAATTGAGCTTACATCATTGAAACAGAAATTGGACAAATTTGAATTGAAATTTACAATTGGTGTCTTGTACACAAAGATTAAACAAGCTGACTACAAATTAAAACTCAGGTTTTACTAGTTTTTTACTAGTTAGAATTCAATAGGTACAAAATCAACATATGATTTTCAAATGTCAAATACAGAAAAGTTTTGTTTGTTGGATGAAAATAACAGGATAATGCAGTGCACATAAAACAGGGTGTAACTGTCCTAGCCACTACAACCAGTCCAAATGCATGTGCTCCAGGAACAGGGTTTTAATAAGGAAAAAAAAAGTATTGTAAATCTGGGAAAAGGGAATGCATATCTGGGGAAGCTTGGGCTGGAAACTGGGGCCTCCTACCTAAAACTATTTGCCACACAGTCACACCTGACACCCAGCTCTCCCACTACAATCCTTTCTCATTTAAAAGGGAGGGATAAACGAACAATATTTAATGATTAATAAAGAGAAACAGGGGAGAGAGAGAGAGAGAGAGAGAGAGAGAGAGAGAGAGAGAGAGAGATCTGTACTAATACACTGTACAGACACTTTGTTATTTAAGTATAATCCCGACAATAAAAACAACTCTTGTGAATAATTCGTTTGCCTTCATTTACATACTTAGCAGTGGATAAACTGTATTGTACTGTTTGTATCTTGACACTAGTGGTGCTGACTTTTGATGTGTTTTCTTTTCAGAAACATGAATGTTCAGCACCACCCACTGGTCACATTATGGTACTGCAACAACTACAACATATTTGTGATTAATGTCAGTATAATTATCATTATTATAATTTTATCAATATCAATATATTCCTTACTAATGTGTTTATTACAAATAACATAATTATTGATGAAAAACTAAATGAACAGTTTCCTGGTCTGGAGATCAAGTTGTCCTAACTGCCTTGATGCTCATGTGGAATCATGAATGTTTGTTGCCCTCCAGTGGACACACAGGGGAACTACAAAAGGTGAAAAAAGTAAGACATGATAACGCAGTAAGACTTCAAATATATACTGAAAATGTATCCAGTCCCAAACCTTTATTACAAATACAGTAGGATTTTCTTCAGACAATGACATTACACAATAACTTAATGAACAAATGTGTAAAAAGGCAGCAACAGTTTCAAGTTAATATTTCCTTCTGTCTTTTGTGAACAGTTTCTTCACGTTTCTCACATTTTAAGGTATTCCACAGAAACATATACGACAGTGAACATCAGTGCAATGGCTTGTCATCTATATTTAGTTAATGTAGCCTTCTCTTGGTAAGTTGGTGCAATTCTAATGTACCGTTGTTTTTATCTGAACAGTGCTAGCATAGATACAAAATATTCTGTCAACTGAAGCTGCCAGAGGTGTTTTATTGTCTGCAAACATTAGAAGACCTGCTCCTCAACAGATTCATTCATTTACTGAACAGTAACTGATACAGAACTGTGATCGACAAAAGAAAATGAATTATACAGTATGGAAAAAATAACCCAAACAAGGAAATAATGATACAAACAGGAAATGCAGCTCTTTGAACTCAAAGGGGAAGAAATTTGCAATGCACTCATTAGGGACTATTTTCTGTGGCGGATTAATCCACATTTGGTGCTCTAGCGAGTATTCGTACAGCAGGACAGTGTATGTGTGATTGAGTCAAAATAAACTAGTGTGGCTCATTGATGTGCAACCTATGTTATATATTATGTTGAGTTGTGTACTTCCATTATCCCAAATGTTTCCAACAATATTCAAACTCAGAGTCATTTTATTCAGGTAACGATGCATTTTACCGGTTTCACACACTTTAGCAGTGTCAGTGTGTGTGTGTGTCTGTGTTAGCATGCTGATATTAGCATTTAGCTCAAAGCACTGCTGGGCCAAAGTTCCGCCTCAGAGAGCTGCTATCAAAGGTGTATAGACGTAGCCCTGTTTAATAAAGACTGTTTGTTTGCTGTGTGTTCAATTATATGTGTCTTTAAACACCTTTGCAGCAGCGTCCTTGTAGCTCCCCTGGTAGAGCTGGGGTTTGAGTCCAACCTGTGGCTGTTTGCTGCATGTCATCTCCTCTCTTTCTCTCCCCCTTTCCTGTCTATCCTGAGCTCTCCTGTCAATAAAGGCAAATATCCTTAAAACATATATTTATCTTAAAGACGTTAAAAAAGATCCTGTTACAACTTGGCTTCTTGTTCTAGCACACACACACAATCCTCTGGTAGAAGTCCACTCTCCATGAGCACAGTATTGACAGTCAATGTGAGCTGGGCACTGTAGCTCAGCAGTCGGCCATCATAAATCAGCTGGTCTGGTGTCAGATTGGGTTGTTTTGGAGCTCTGCACAGACAGAAAGAGGAAAGAAACGTGATGTACAAACATAGCTGTTTGGAAAGGGTTGGAGAGTAAATGTTGGTTTTAGTAAATTTGCATTTGAGGCGACACTCAGCTGTATTGAATATTACACGCCACTTTAATCCAAGATCACAAATCTAAAAGAGAACTGATTTAAACTGTTTTTATCAGATTGAAATAAAGTATAATCTGTAGTTTTCAAGTGCATGTAAACAAGTTTTACAACACAATGATCAGGTTAAAATTCATGTTTGACAAAATCTTCCCTATCTTTGTTCATTTGGTACAAAAGAATAATGTGTTCATCAATAATTACTGCATCTAACAATCAGATTTAGTTATTGGTTATTAGTTATTTCTTGCAGCTACCTGAACAAATGATATGAAGGAATTGTCACAGTCCGCTGTTGGGATCCAAGGATACCTTTAAACATGAACTTGTTCATTTGTCAGTGTTTTTTTCAGCAGACCAACTAGATCTCTAAGCCGAGAGGCAAAGACTTTTTTTTTTACTGTTCTTCCTTGGTTAGTGGGCAGTGCACGAGACAAGGTACATGCTGACGATTGGCTGAGGTTGAGTAAAATTTCATGGTAAGCCAATCAGAGGTAGAGTTGAGCAGGTGTTCGAAAGCACGCATAGTCGGACACACAATGAACAACACAAGGGAGTCAGTAAACAAGAGACAGGTATGGCGAGTTGTGTTGCATCTTATTACATTTGCACTAAAAAGAGTGTATATATTGTTTGAATACATTGTTGGTACATTGCTTAAAGAGCATCATTTCATTTAGATTTATTTGTTGAAGTGAGATTGTCAATGGCCAGAGAAAGAGATTTATTTTTATGGAGGTGTATTTTTTATTTCTTATGTATTACCTGTTTATATTTGGATTCCTTAGTTTTGCTATACATTGTATTTTTCAGTTAGATTGAAAGCACCTCATATTGTTACACTGTTCTACTTTTTCGAGGAAGAAAATACTTGAAGTACAGTATATCTACCAATTGTCAGAAGTTTTTTTTATTTGCACTATAAAGAGTGTATATATTTGTTATTTATTTTTGGTATAGGAATTAATAGTTTAGTGTATTTTTATGGGACTGATCAATCAATTATTGGCTATCGTTCCCTTATTTAAGGGTGGTGCCCCAATGATCTTTAATATTAATTAAAGTCATTTTGTATTATCTTTTGATAATTATAAATTTTGATAGCCATTAATTGATTAAACTAACACAGTTAGACCACTGTAACACCCTACGACGTGGAGCCTGACACCGCCAACAAAAAACAGAGCAATCACACGTGATCTGATTAGTGAGTACACAAGCATCAGTCTACCTGGTGTGGTACATCCGTGCTATATTCCTGTCAACCCAGGAGCAGCCGTGCAGTGAGTCCAGCAGCCCGTGGACTTTTGGGATGAACACAGCTCGGGGGTTGACAATTATCTTGAAGTTGCTGTAATGAGTCTCTTTAATGATGGGTTCCTGGTACAGGTGAGCCAGAATGTTCACCCCGGATACATTCTGCCAGCCGGGGCAGCAGCGGCTCTGTGGGGGCAGAGTTTCGGAGGTGGGAGGAGGCAGAGTGATGGTGTTGGGGAACACGTTATTCTCAAACATGTAACACTTGTCAGCCCCATATTTCTTTTCCAGCAGAGGCAACAGCTCCGACCAACTGGTAAGAGAATAATTTAAAAGGAAAAAAATACGTTGGTAAAAGAATATAAAAAAAGAATACATGCTTTGTAACATACAACAGCACACTATGTTTAATTTGTAAACATATATAACTCCTATTAAGTATCAATAACTGCTGTTTAAACATTATAAATTATCCTAAGGTAATTGTCATCACATAAAGATATATTGGGTCTCAAATAGTGGTAAAATATATGAACCATTTTAAAACACACCCATGAATGAAGTAAATTTGTACAAATGGGTAATAAATACACTATAAATACAGACAATACAATATAGTCAAACATTACAAAAGAGGTTATCCTTTAATTAGTTATTCATATATTTGCTTATTCGCTGCTTATGTAACAACTTGATAAGGAACTTAATCTGATACCAGGCATTTGCCTCATTTCATAAAGATAGTGCTACCTGTTGACTGACTGGGGCAGTATGAGCTCATCTATATCCTGCAGGGCCACATATCTGGATTGGTACATGTATCTGTAAATAAAGTCATTGAGAGCAGGAATCTGGCCGAAGTAGTGGAGGTCACCTGGACCGTGTTCAGGCAGCCAGCCTCGAGATACATTCAGGAATCTGGACATAGACCAAGGAATCACCTCTACTAAACCTGAGGAGACATTGGAAAAAATTGATTATAACAAGTAATAAAATAGTAATTATATGGCGGTTTTAATTGTTAGTGGGGGAGTCCGCCATTCTTGTTGTTGTTAATTTTTTCACACTTTTGTGGCAGGAAAAAAAGATATCCAAAAAGATATGCATTTCTTCCTTGTTGTAGCTCAGTCTATTTCTTTTCTCATCCAAGATATAGAACAACTGCCCACCGTCCGTGCGGCTGCATAGAGCACATCGGTCTTCCTGCACAATTTGTGCCAGTGCTGTCTCCAGTATCCAAGTTGGAAATAACCACCACAACATTTAGCCAGATCAAAATTCATGCAACACAACTGGTACTGAATCAGGCTGTATTGTATTGATGGAAACACAGACAATTATCATGAAACCTGTAGCTCTGTGGAGCTTTGTAACAACTAGCTTTGGTTTTGCTGCACATTGACTCTACAGTACAGTCTCAGTGCAGCAGCAACCAGCTCTGATAAGCTCACTGTACACACAAATATAAATCCAGTTTAGGGGCAGGGGATTTCTGGATACTGGATAGCATAGTGCTGTCAGGGATTACATTGTTTTCCAAGTCATGTTGATATTGGGATCAGTGTCTTTCCAAGGATAAAGAACTGAACTGTGAATAAGTTTGACTGGGGAGTGCCAGCTAGTCGAGGAAATACGCTACTGTTGAACCATGAATGAGCAGATGGGAGGAAGTCAATGCAGGGGAAAGGTCTGTGCACACTGTTCACATGATAACGGTGAATGGAAAGGTATTCAAAATGGATGGATGGAGAAAATACCCCTACTGTGGCTGCTAGTGCAATTACACACAGAATATTCCACCTCCACCATACTCCACCTTTTTGTGTGTAGTAGTCCAGTACGTGCTTTATTTCAGGGCTGTTGCTGGTCTTATAGATGACAACTCTGTTCACCCCCAGTAACTGCAGCATTTCCAAACCCTGGACCAGCTACAATACAACACAAGTGTTTAGTTGACACACTCCAGGGGCATGTAAGCACTAAAATGCCTGACAGTCAAACAACAGAAGTTACCTGCAGCACGTTGGTGAAATCAAACATGGTGGAGAGGCAGACGGTGAAATTGTAAGGAAAGGAGTCACTTATGGCCTTCTGGTTATTCACTTTCAAAAACTCTTTGTCAGGTTTATCTAAGTGACCACATAAAAGAACCACAGATACATTTTGACAATAACGTTTATATACTGTACTCATGAAGAACAAGTTTAAAGTTTAAAAAACACCTGAATAAAGTCATCACCAACAAAGATATCAAATGTCTGTTGACGTCTATGGATCAAACACTACAGGCAGTGAAATTTACTTTAAACATTGGGTGACTACCTTCAGAGTCTGCTGCAGCAGAGGTCACAGTGATATAAGATGGAGTCTCACAGCCTGAGGGGAGAGGACACATGATGTCTGCTGTCCCATATGCAAAACCAAAGTGATTGGTGTGGATGTTGCTGACACCTTCAGAGATGTACAGTTGGTCATGACAACAGAGGAGGCAGCGATAGGCTACTGTCTCACTCCTCAGCACCACTGCAATAACACGAACCTGACACCAGAAGACAAAATTAAGGATGTTATTACAAGGTTAAGGGGAGTAGGTAAACTTAAAATCTTTTTTTAAATACCTATTTTATTGTTTTATTTTGTTGTACTTATACCTACAAAGGTTACAAACTGAGAATATATATGAGAATACAGGTTTTACGTTTGTGAATTAAGGATTTTTTTAACCAAACCAGAGTCAGGCATTGTTGGAACTGTAGAAAGTCTGACAAAGATGATTTTGTGATTTTATTTTGTTTCTGTCCACTTTGAATGAAGTTACGATGTTACGATGGTATGAGAGGTAAAATACTGTATTTGTCTTTGGTGGCAAGAAACAGTGATGTTACAGCTGTTTCTAGTTAAACAATGGTCTATCTCTGTGGCGATCATTTTCATAATGTTGCCTGACACTTAGGAATAACAATCTCGGCGACAGGCACAGTTAGCTTACGTTGGGGTCATTGCAGCCCGTTTCACAAACATTTTCACATCTAACTGTGAATAACCTTTAAACTTTCTGTTTACAAATTTTAAAGTGTGCATATACTTCTGCTATCATATTTAGTTATTATTTTTAGTCTACACCTGTGATATTCTTTGAACCTTTGTCATAGCATGTATGAAAGATGCTATACAAATATATTTTGAGGGATTGATTGATTTATGGGGTTGCAGACACTTCTCAACATCAAGAGAGAAACCTCAGAAACCTGGACAACTCCTCAAGGTAAATGGACTTTTAATTTGAGGTTACAATAAAAAAAAATTAGAATAAACTACTTTAGGTTAAGAAAAGATTTTTCTAATGGTAGATGGATTTTGGTAAATTTACGGTTAAAACACTGTGCACCTGTATTATCTAGAAAATACAAGTATCAGATTGGGACTCGATCAGAGGAACAGGAAGTGAAACTTGGCGGAGTTGGTGCCCTGCTTTTTTTCACTGACCTCCTTTCTGCCTGTACGGTGCTCCTGATAAGCTGACATGAGCAGCGTTTTTGTCTTGTTGACTGCGACCTTTTGTCCCTGAGGAACTGCATGAGTGAAAAATGTTAGACCGAGTTGGTGCATAAGTGCTTAACATTAATGTCTGTCTTTCCACAAAAGATACTAAGCTGCCTATTTCTCTGCAAATCAGATGGGTCAAGACACATGAACAGTCAGACAATCAGACAGGTAGGAAACACACTCCCAGGTTAGTTCAACTTATTTGAAAGAGAAAACAAAGGCAAACAATGATATTATTACCCCAAATGTCCAATGTACACATCAACTGACTTACCCTGACCTAACCCTGACCACAAAAGAACTAATCCACAGTCTGACTGAAAGCAGACAGAGACCGTCCTTAAGGAAACGTAGATGGAATAAAGTTTTTTTTCTCACAGCAATAATAGCATTAAGGTGAATCAAGAATGATCACAAGGAGTTTAGGTACAGGAAATAGGAAGTTAAATAATAAACAGCAGCTGAGGAGAGCAGGAAGAGGAAATGTTTCTTTGGGACATTCTACATTTCTTAAAAAGCAGCGTTCAGAAATAAATTAGTTTACCTATTTGTCCTTGACCACATTGTTGAGGCACTGCGGGTTGCACAAAGATCTGAGGCTCACTGGTTGCTTTGTAGAACTTGATCCAGTCGACCCTGTGCATCCACAGCAAATCATTTAGCTGATGTCAACATTTTACTATGGTAAATGTTCAAAACTATTTACGAGAGAGTAAGAGAGCATTCAGCTCAGCATTTTTAGAAACAAAATCATAATCAAACATTTCAGCAAATTCCCTAAAAACAATACATGTTTAAGTAACAAAGATGTTTAGTGCCCGAAGTAATATTCTCTTGTCTAAAGACATAAACAGTTTGATAATTAATTGGTTTTCATGTAGATGTTAAACAAACTTCAAAAATCAAACAAAATCTGCAAAAGAAAATGCAAATCAAAGTGCGTTTCCTTGCACTATCATTATGTGAATATTAAGAGTTGGGCACATCAAATGAACAGGTGTTGATAATTCTCCAGTCGGTGAGTGATATGATTTACAGATCTGGATGCAGATCCATAAACTTGAATACAACTGGATCGGTCCAGATACAGGCTCTTTTTGTCCAGTGATTGATAAAAGGAAATAATAAGCTCTGTGACATAGGATTCTGATGGATCGGACAACTTGGAACTGGTTCTCAACTGGAACCCTAATTTAGTTTTAACACACATATAAATAATGTGAATGAATTAGTATGTTAGCCTAAATGAATCCACCCCCCCAGTCATATTAATACTCACGTTCCTCGAGTTACCGGCCGAGGAGGTGGAGTAGCAGCCATATATGATTTGAGCGTTTTAATGGACCCTAAACCTAAACTAAATTATAATTCATTTGAAAGCCTTGTTCTTAGTCTTTCTCACCCAAACTGGAAAACACTGCAGCCAGTTCTATTTGTTATAGTGTACCGCGCTCCTGGCCCGTACTCTGATTCTCAGAGTTTTTATCAACGTGAGTCCTGAACCATCCCTTAGTTATGCTGCTATAGGCCTAGACTTCAGGGGATTTCCCATGGTGCACTGAGCTCCTCTCTCTCTCTTTCTGCACTCATTCATGTCCCACTAATGCATGTTACTAACTTCACTTCTTCCCCGGAGTTATTGTGCTTTCTCATCTCGCAGGTTCTCATGGATCCTGGTGGAGCCTCCTGCCATGGTCCTGCTTGACTCCCATTGCTAATATCACTGATATTATTGTTATTATTATTATTAATATTATTATTACTACAGTTACTATTATAACTATTGTCACTGCTCATTGTCCCCCATCGTTGCTGTTGTCGTCATCATCATCTTCTTCATGTTCGTCATCATCAGTCACTACTATTAGTGTAGTTGTTGCTACTGTTGTTGCTGTGCACCTGTCTGTCTCTCTCTCTGTCTGTCTGTCTGTCTGTCTGTCACTCTCTCTCTCTCCCTCTCTCTCTCTTTCTCTACCCACCTAGAGCCATGAAACTCAAGATATTTGAATCACTGTCATACTGAAGTAGATCAGAATAGTAATTTCACTCACCTGTAGTTAAAGAACAGCAGAATGAGAGAGAGGACGGTGATGACAGTACTGCAGTACATCAACTTTCTTAAAGTCTTTAGTTGAAACAGCTGCTGATGATTGCTGCACATGGCACACATGTTGCCTCAGTTCCACTGCTTTTGACTCACATATGTTTTCCTAATCCAGGTGGAGAAACCTGGACAAGCAGAAGAAACTAGTGATTCTTAACATTACTTACATTTTTATGCTTCAGTTCCTGCTGCTCACACACCCTCATTGGCAAAATAATTACAGGAAGCTAAAAACTTTCTCCATTGAAAAAAAATTAGGCAATATGAGCATGCATCCTTTCCAAAACCATGTAAGAACCAGACTTGAAGTCCTGCTCGTGGCCTGTATGGAGAGCAGTGTTCATTTTATCACAAAATAGGAAAGCAAAGGAAAGAACAAACTAACAAATATGAAACAACAGTCAGTGCCTACTGAATTAAACCATATAGTAAAGAAAACTCTCCATGCACAGCCAGGAACAGTCAGGTGCTGATAGGTTGCAGGACTATATAGGTAAAAATCATAATAGACCTCCGCACACTGGAATGACTTTACTGTGATTTATTAGGGGGAAACTGAAGAAGCTACTGTGACTCTTACGAATCTATTGTGATCTACCACCTCTATAAGGTTGTGAATGGGGACCAGCCTCTGTGAAATTCCCATTTCATTGTTTATTGTAATAACATCCTAAGTGTGTCTCAACTTAGAAACACTCCAGTTTCATGAATAATATAACAGTTGTGTTATGTTGAAGCCATTACATTACCACTAATCTGTGTTTGACCTATATTATACCATACACTGTAAGCAATTGATGTAAATTTACAGCCAATTTTCAAAACTAAAATACTGTTTTCATGTTTAACAGTGTAGTACTGTAGTTAGCAATGCATTGTGGGCTTCTTAACTTGGAGCAACAGGACAGAGGCCGTAAACAGTATGCTACTGTTTTAAATTATTTATTTCAACCAAACCATAGGATTTTTGGAACATCGCCTAGAGATAGTTTTGGTGAGTTTTATTTTGTTTGTGTCGACTTTTAATGAAGTGTGTTTTACAATGAGCTAACGGAATTCAGCTAGTTCGGTTTGTCCATGTGTTGTTTTGACAGTCTGGCATTGCCACATTAAGCCACAAGAGAACTGGTATTATTAGCTTTATAAGCATTAGCTTGGAGGGTATATTGTACATTCCTGATTGTATAATATTTGTTTGATATTGTTTGACAGTGGCAACACTGGAATAATGCTACAGAGGAATAGCGGCTAACAAACTGATGGTCATCTCTCCTGGATCCACAAGATTTGAATCAGGGCCGTTCACACCCACCCAGACTCCCACCGGAACTAAGATGTAAAAACACAAACCCACCTCACAGGACTATTTTAATAAATTAACTGCAAGTCGCAAGCTTGGATTGGCACAGGTGCCTATTACAGTTTCTTCCCTAAGTGTTGTTTTTGATCCATATTATTGATGCATATTGTCAAAATGTTGTAACTCTACTGTAATAGTTTCAAAAGCGGCCTTAATGCCCTTTTTAAAAATGTTCTTACATTTGTAAATGTTGTCAATTCTGCATATTCTGCATTTTCACAGAAAGCAGAAAATGCATTGCAGATTACATAATGTAAATCTTTTAAGTTGAGTTTTGAGGAAATTTTAATCTAACTCACAGGACTATTTTTTAGTTTTATGTGTTTCAAAATTCTCTTACTGGTGTATATTTTTGCTGGCAGCAGTTTCTTGCAGAAAATTCTGAGATTGTAATTTAAAAGGGTTTTGCAAGAACATAAGCATACCTCACAGGATAGGTTAAACTCTTATTTCCTCTGTATTTGTTGCGTTGGTCTTTTTCTTAGACCCATTGTATTATTGAACAAGTGTTCAAACTTATGTGTTAAAGACAATATTAAATAATATTGACATTGGCCCAAAAAGTCAGCTATAGGTCATACCCTGACAAGCAGGTTATGCCCTGACAAGCAGGTTATGCTCTGACAAGCAATTTAAGAATTTAAGTTTATTGCAATAGTCTAAAGCAGACACTACTAGGCTGTTTCTGTTTGCTACTCGAAATCTCTTCTCAGCGTCGTCCAACAGGGTTTATTTTCTTTTTTTCCATTTTTTGAAAGTAGCAGTATTCAGTATTCATGTTGATATTGCCTTTTGAAATAAATGATTTTGATTCTCTCTAAGTTTTTATTGCTTATTTTGCACAATATTCACAAAAATGCTTAAGCAAATGTCTACAGCCCTGAGAATAATGAAGTTCTAATATTGATTGCATTTAAGACTAATATTTTAGGAAACTGCTAAATTGAGTTATAGTATTATCTACTGTGTCTGTCTACAGTAAACTGAGAAGTTAAAGTAACAAATTAAAAAGAATATTATTGTAATTTCCAAATAATCATAGAAATATGCTGCATTTATTTATTTTTACTGTATTAGACTGTGAAATGGGGTAATAAATGTATTAAGTTCGGTTAAGTGTTTTTTATGGTAGGGAAAAATCTGCTAAGAATCTGTTAATAAGTCACCATTGTGTTAAGGATGTTCACATGTGAGTTACAAGTGATACTGTTAGGACGTATCCAGGTGATCTTGAATATACTGGATGGTATATACGGTAGATCATTCTGAAAGTCTGGGAGCGAACATTCATGCTGCGGTCTTCTCTCCATGCTGCAAGTAATAAAGGGACTTGATTCATCTTTGAACTGTGAATGTGATTTCTCCACCATGAATGAGGTACTGGACTACAACCTAGGGCATAACCATGCATGCAACACTGGAAGTAAAAAAGTACCAATTTGTTCCCAGTAATATATGATAGAAAATATGTTGAATAAGTCTGCCTTTTTTTTGAGCATTTTCTCTTGTTATTTTCTATTTATTTTAATTGAATTTACATTTATTCAGGAAAACATTAATTGTGTTACTTCCCTGACTTGGTTGTGCCCAGCACCCTCGTTCAGTGTTGCCAGCTTGGTGATTTTTCCGACTTTGTTTCTAAAAGGCCACTAGCAGCTATATATTTTCCCCCATTTGAAGCTATCCTATTCACTGGAAAATCTATAAATCTAATTGGTAGGTGTGTTAAATGTCAAGCAAACAAAGCGCACAGACATATTCCTATTAATGTGAATTCAAATGGCAATATAGTCCTAAAAATGGATTTGTGGGAAATGTTCAACGCAACAATTCTCATAATACTTTCTTTTTATACTGGTCATTATTACTTTTTAGAACAAATTTCCATCTGCGTTTCCCTGGATTGTGTTTGCTTTGTTAGTAACACAAATAATGATGCTTTTTATCTGACAGCTATACATTTTGTTTGCATGGGTGTTTTTGTTCAGATCTGTTGGATTTTTACAAATGCCATTAGGAGCACTAGGAGTATGGGGTGCCGTTTGTAAAGCAGATCACGCTGAAAATAACAGCAACATTTTGTCACATTTAGCTTCAGACAATGTTTAAAAAACTGGTATGAATTTTTGAGGGTCACTTTTTTGCACATTTACAACAATATTTGTCAACTTAGAGATATTTTAAATAGTTAAATCCAAATATTAAATGTTACACCTAAATGTTAAATGTTAAATCTAAATGTTAAATGTTAAATCTAAATGTTTCGGGTGAAACTAAATATTTAACTAATATGCAAATTCAAAATGCCAGTGACCGGAAGTACCAAAATAAAAGCTCGAGGAGGACAGTGTGTGTTTATAGTGTCAAATAACGAATAAAAACCATCTCATCCGGGGAAATGGACTCTTGGACATGGATCATCGTGATAATAACTACCTAAAATAATAAACACGTTTGGAGAAACAGTATTTGAAGAGTACTTTGAGTTTCTAGTGTCACTTATGAAGGGTGTGGGACTTGTGACCTGTATAGCCACTATAGCCAGCCCGAGGGTGCTCACTTTGACTAGGGTGGCCATTTCCTTCACATCAAACAGGAGGACACTTTGCATACACGGGGACACGCAAGCAGATATTTGTTTGGTATGATCCAGATTACATAGGTCTAATAAACATCACACAGAAACTGTTCTTAATGGTTTTATCTGGGGATAAAGGGCTTTACCTATCTACATATGAGTATGAGCATTTTCAGAATTTCAGTCCAACAACCGACGTTAGTTCACGTTACTCACGTTACGTTCTCTGTCGCTGAGAGTTTGATTGACAGCCTGGTGGTAACCTAGCAACTGCGGTGATCACGTGGCAATCAACACATGGCTCATTTGAATATTAAAATTAACCATGTGTTGATAGGTCACTATCACTAATTACTTATTTTGACACACACTTTTAGTCCAATCCATGTCCAGGAGTCCATTCACCCGGATGAGATGGTTTTTATTCGTTATTTGACACTATAAACACACACTGACCTCCTCAAGCTTTTATTTTGGTACTTCCGGTTATTTGAATTTGCATATTAGTTAGATATTTAGTTTCACCCGAAACATTTAGATTTAACATTTAACATTTAGATTAAACATTTAGATTTAACATTTAGATTTAGATTTAACATTTAGCATTTAGATTTAACATTCAGATTTAACATTTAACATTTAGGTGTAACATTTAATATTTGGATTTAACTATTTAAAATATCTTTAAGTTGACAAATATTGTTGTAAACGTGCAAAAAAGTGACCCTCAAAAATTCATACCAGTTTTTTAAACATTGTCTGAAGCTAAATGTGACAAAATGTTGCTGTTATTTTCAGCGTGAGCCGCTTTACAAACGGCACCCCATATAGGAGAAGCCAGTGGCTCCTGATTGTGACTACCTAATGCAGATTTAATGCATGATGATCGAAGTAACAGATGAATAGAGTTAATAAGGATATTATATTATAATGATTTTTGTGGTTGTGTATGACTGCCGACGTCGTTTTCTGCTTTTGATGCGTCATTATGTATGTATTATGTAATTATCTTGTCTTACCGATCCACATATGTTGAAGAGTTTAAAATCGCCCTAATGTACGCCATAGTCACTT